TGATTTTACCAAATGTTGTGATGTTACTCTTTTAGAAAGAGATAAATGGAGGCTATGTGGAATTCACATATATACTAAAATGTCTTCTTTCTAAATAGAAAATCAGTAAACAATGTTTAAAACAGATAAGTTAAACATAATACATATTTTAGGTAGAAATAACTACCTGATACAGTAGAAACTTAGGAGAATTGATAGTGATTTCTTCTGGGGATTTAAATTAAGTGGTAAGGAAGGGTAGAAAAGGATACTGCTGTTTTTTTAGTAAAGTTTGTAGAAATATTTAGCTTTTTAAACTATGTGTATGTATTAATTTGGTAGAAATTAAAACCAATTATAAAAATAGCTCATAGGACAATTTAGGAGAAAATGATGTTTTTTATTCAAATGTTTTTGAATTAAAGAAGAAAAGAAGTCCTACTAGTGAGGTCCATCGTGTCATGTGCCAAAACCAAGAAAGAGTATACAGAGACATTTTTCAGGTCTTGTTCTCATTATCGTCATCAGTAGATAAATTGTTGTAAGTCTAGCTATCATATAGACTTCCAGTGGGGCTTAATTAAAATTACTAGCACTCTGTAGTCTCTAAATTATTTCATTTTAGTTTTCTGATGCTTTGCTTTTGCTTTATGGAAGTCCCTTGCTTTAACTGTGGGGCTAATAATAACTTGCATTTCCAAAATAGTAATGAATTTATTCTTCTGTTCCTTGTTAGGGAAAAATGGGGTAAAGATGTCAAACCTATAGAAGTTTGGTTTTAGAGCATATTTGTTCATTTGAGTCATTATCTTCAGGATATGAAAACTTGAGCTTGTTAATGTTTTATACTTATGTTAAATTTTCTTTTTAACTGCTCTTCTCTGCACCATGAAGCTGTACCTTGTGAATTAGGTATATATTCAAGGTCAAAATTAAAATGTCTAGAAAACTTAGAATTATACTTGTTTTTAAACAACCAGAGTATGCAGTTTCCATTATTCCAATTGCTTAATAAAATTTGTTCAGTGAATTATTCAGAAGCACTTCAAAGCAGCCTGATGGTAGTGGATTAGTATACCAACTTTGGAATCAAGAAAATTTAGATTCAAATCTCAGTTCTATAGTTTTTTAGTTATGTGACTTTGACCAAGTAATATATTTTGTCAAGCTTCAGTTCCCTCACATGTAATATGGGAATATTATCTCCAAGGATTAGATAAGTAAATTGCCTGAATGTGTTTGTGAGACTCTATGTATACAGATAAAGCATTTATGGCATCTAGTAATATAATATTGCTATTACTATTCCTGTAACAATAGGTCTTTTTTATTTTTTGTTTTGTAGATGCAGCTATCATGCTTTCTTGCTGTGCCATTTCTTGGTCAACTGTTGATTTTCAAATAGCTTTAAGAAAATCCTTGCCTGATAAAAATCTCCTTAATGGATTCTGTCCCAAAGCCACCTATCTCTTTTACAAGTTGTTTACATTATTGTCTTGGATGCTTAGTGTTGTACTTCTATTGTTTGTAAATGTTAAGGTTGGATTATTTATGTTGTTATTACTTTGGATTGTAGGTTTACTCTGGGCATTTAAAGAACAAACTCAGTTTTGTAATTCCAAAAGTATGGAATTCTTATATAGAATTGTTGTTGGATTTATTCTTGTCTTTACATTTTTTAATATTAAGGGACATAATACTAAATGTCCAATGTCTTTTTATTATGTTGTAAGAGTGCTGACCACACTGGGTATATTGATTGGGTTCTGGGTTTATCCACTTTCTATTTTTAATTCAGATTACTTTGTACCTATCAGTATCACTTTAGTTCTTTCTCTTCTCCTTGGGATTATTTTTCTTATTGTTTATTATGGGGCTTTTCACCCAAATAGAAGTGAAGAAACAAAATATGATGAAACTGATGGAAGATATGTTCAAAGAGATTGTAGAATGAAGTATTTCCTAAAGGAATAGCTATTAATTTATAAGATATGTTTTATTGTTACTTGTTTCATTGGTTAGTAAAGAAAAATATGTGTTATGTGTGTATTGTCTCTTTATTTTTGCTACCTTTAATTTGAGAATGGTTCTGGTACATTAATTTTGAATATGAGAGAACATAATGATATTTTATTATTTAAATTATTATTATTTGTGTTTTTTTGTGATTCTGGGAATTGCATCCTGGGCCTTGTGCACGCTGGACAAAGTATTATACCACTGAGCTCCAGCTTCTGCCCTCTTATTTGGTTCTGAAAGTCTTGAGTACAAAGATATTTTCTTACTGTATCTGGTAAAGCTACCGTCTTGAGCCCGAAATGGAAGAAATAATCTGGTTCCCATAAAGGCTGGCCTTGAGCTATTCTCCAGGTTTTCTCTGATTGTTCCTAAAACTGCTCTACCTGTTGTGGAGAACTACAAAGGGAACAAAAGAGCAGAACACCTTATTTTTCTTTTCTTTACTGTCTTGATTCATTGCATGTACTTTGAGTTGGGGACAGATTAAGTAGAAGAAAAGGGAATAGAGGGAAGGTGAAGAAATTAAATTCTTTTTTATTTTTTACTTTTTTAATATTTATTTTTTAGTTTTAGGTGGACACAATATCTTTATTTTATTTTTATGTGGTGCTGAGGATCGAACCCAGTGCCCCACGCATGCCAGGCGAGTGCGCTACCATTTGAGCCACATCCCCAGCCCAAGAAATTAAATTCTTGGTGAGCACCTACTCTGCTGCTTTTCATGAATTTCCCAATTCAGTAAATATGAAAGAAAATTTGCATGCATTTGAGAGGATTGAAAATTTCATTATTTACTTATTTTTTAGATTTTCTGAATAAAACTAAAATAATTTTATTAATTAATTAGGTATGACAGCAGAATGCATTTTGATTCATTGTACACAATTGCAGCACAATTTTTCATTTCTCTGGTTGTACACTATGTAGCATCGCACCATATGTGCAGTCATACAAGTACCTAGGGTAATGATGTCCATCTCATTCCACCATCTTTCCTGCCTGCATGCCCCCTCCCCACCGTTTCCTTTTCTTTGCCCAATCAAAGTTCCTCCATTCTGAATAAAACTAAAATTTTATTCTTGATATATTAATTCTATTTATGCTAAAAGTTATAATATTTTATTTGTATTATATGTATTTTAAAAATATGGTAAAAATTATATCAAATTTACCATCCTAACCATTAAGTACAGTTGAGTAGTGTTAAACTGTATTTGCTTTGTTATACAACAGATCTCTAGAACTTTATCCTCTTGCAAAACTTAAGACTGTATATCCATTGAACAATTACTATTTTTCCCTTTATCCTCCTTTAGATATCTCATGTAAGTTAAAATCATGCAGTATTTGTCTTTGTGACAGGCTTATTTAATTTAGGAAAACTTCCTCAGTGTTCATCCCTATTAAGAGTATGTAATAGCATTTCCTTCTTTTTTAAGGCCAAATAATATTCTATTACACATATGTGCCACATTTTCTCTATTCATTCATTTATTATGGAACAATTGTCCTGATTCCACTTCTCTCTTGGCTATTGTGAATAACGCAGCAATTAACATGGGTGAAATAAAGTATTTCTTGGAGATTCTGCTTTTAATTTTATTGAGTATATACCCCAAGGTGGGTTTATTGGATCATATGGCAATTCTGTTTTTAACTCTAAAGGAATATTCATGCTGTTTTTCCATTTTATAATCCTACCAACAGTGCACAAAAATATTGATTTCTTTGTATCCTTACCAACATTTGTTATTTTCTGGTTTTATTATTATTTCTCTTTGTAGTGTGATTTGCCTTTCTCCAATGATTAGTGATGTTAAGCATCTTTTCATGTTTTCCTTGTATATCTTCAGTAGAGAAATATCTATTTCATAAGGGTTAATATCTAACATTTAAAGAACTAAACCTCTAGAATAGCAGCAAAACTCCAAATAACCTGATTGAAAATGGAAAGGTGTAATCCCAGCAGCTCAGGAGGCCGAGACAGGAGAATCATGAGTTTGAAGCCAGCCTCAGCAATGGTGAAGCGCTGAGCAACTCAGTGAGACCCTGTCTCTAAAATAACATAAAAAATAGGTCTGGAGATGTGACTCAGTGGTTGAGTGCCCCTGAGTTTCAATCCCTGGCGTGCGCACGCATGCACACATACACACACAAAATGAAAAGGACTTGAGGTAACCAAATTATTAATTAGTTTATTTTTTGGGGAAAGATGAGTTTTATTGAAATGCTACAAAGTAAATGTAACCTCTTAAAAATGAGAAGTTAAGGGACATCTAAGTAGTCTTCTTTGTGACCCATTCTCCACATATCAGAAAAGGGACTTCATTTTGAGAACATCCAATACCCAACACAGTATAGAGGTTAGTTGTTGAATTAATCAGTGAGTGAGAGATGAATTGGATAGGAGAGAATGAAAAGATAGCAGAGGCTGGGAGTATTGGAGCAGGCTAAACATATTATAGTGATCAAAGAAGGGAATTAGGTAGAAAATCAACATGTTCAAGTGTGCTGGACTGATATTTCTAGCAGCTGCTGGTTCCCAGGCCAGAGTGGTGGGCCTCAGTTTGCTAGTGGGGGTGCCCCTCTAAGTGAGAACATGGCAGGGCCACATGGGCTGGTTTATCACTAAGATGCAGAGAAAGGCCATTTCTCTGTTGGGGACTGTATTTCCAGGTGTTGTTGATGTCATCTTCTTTTTCTTCTTCCTCCTCCTTTTCTACTTTATTCTCTTCCTTCTCTTCTTCCTGCCTTCCTCATCCACCTCCTTTTATTTCATTTTAAAGATAGGTGCTGATCACTTGCTTTGCTTATATAATTCTAAGCAAAAGGAAGGTTTAACGACAATCATTGAGAGCAGCTGTAAGCTTCAGACCTGAGCTTGAAAGATCATATTGCTCTATGCTCTGGAAGGTC